GAATAAGATTATGTTTTTCAAAAGTTAGCATTCTAAGTCTAGGACCTGAATGTGATTGCCCCGATATATAATTTACCAAGTGAAGTCCAGTTGTGTTATTTTGTCCTAGGATGCAGAAAAAAGAAGGGGGAAATAGCGCATGAAGCACTTTTATTCATCTTTGTTTTGCTAAGCATATATCATTTTGTTTTTGTTTTTCTTTTGCTATTTATATTGATGTGACATTGGGATATTAAGATTTAATTTTAATAATTTTATTGACTGGCTCTATTTTGAGTTCGCACCTGCATGAGAACATGGACAGCCTGCCCACATTTTTAATAGAGAAGTATAAAAACAATTTACCAGTTTATCTCTAAACTGTGAAAAGTGGGCCTTGTTAACTTTCTATATACAGCATCAGTAGATGTTTCACTTGAAAAGACTGAAGAAGTGAGGAAATCTCATACCTACTGTCTGTGTGTGCATGTGGATGTCATTTGCTTAGGTGAAAAGCTTGTCAGAAAAAAAGAGATGGCAACCCAGCATCATAAACATGTTTAAATATGCATTCAAAGCGAGACCTGTAAAATCTAAAAACTCAAAACTCTTTATCTTGATGGGTAAAACTGTGAATTCGTTTTCCCTCACATACCTTCATTGGAGGGAAGAAGGAAAAAACCTTCATTTCCCCCCCAGTAACATGTATGAAGAACTTTCTGAGAGTTCTTGTTGAGAAAGGAACCAAATGAAGTTCTTGGCCATCTGTAAACTATGGGTAGTATATTAAGCAGAATTCTGTCTCTACGTCTCCTCTGTGTTCCAGACTGATGGCTTACAAAATCTAAACAAACTGAGCTCTTTCAGCTACTATTCTTTAATAACACAGTATGTAAGAGTGCACATCTCTTGTCTGAACCAAGATTATCTAAAATTATATATTTTGCATGAAACACATACATATATATCACATTTCTTCTGTGCTATTCTTCCATAACTTTACTGGGAGGGGAGATCTGAACGCAGGCTATAAAGTAGTTTTAAATCCTTATATGGAAACATTCAAAGGCCTCAAACAGAGAATGTGGGAGTATATCCTGCATCGTGCTGCAAATTAAAAGGTACCGTTTCGCAACCATCCCCAATAAAGAATTTTCTTTAAGCAAATGCTGGCTCTGCACCTGTCATTGGGATATTCTTTGGAAAATTTTGCTTCCCCAAGCCCCGAAATGAAGATGCAAGACAACAATTCTTTGGGTTTAAATATGGGCCACACTTTATTAAAAACCAATTTCTTTCAACCAAATAAACCAAATCCAAAATTGATTGGGCCTGTGGTAGTGCGGGGAAATAACGCCAAATAATTCCTTATCAGCCAATGGGCGAGTCCCAGGCCCCAGGTTCCAGCTGTCTAGCTACCGGAGGAACCTGTAAGGCCTAAATTAAACCCCCCAGACCTCCAGCCATCGTATTTGATGACTTTTGGTCCGAAAGTGTTCCAGCGCATCAGTCGCCTTCGGCCCTGTAATCGCACGATCCGCAGAAACTGTCAGAACTGACGCGCTGTTTGCTTTATGATTATTACAAAAGGGAGACATTGTGACAACCAGTTATTCCCGCACTACCCGCCAGTGTGACCAAGTATAATAAACCACCATCAAATGCCAACACAAACCCTTTTCCAGTGTGGGATAGGTGAAAAATCCCCCCATCCAAAAGCCAATCAGGATAGAGGTCAAAAATTCTTATCCGGCCCCACAACAGGCGACCCCAAAAACACACTAGAAAAAAGGCATCATGTGGCCCCTGTTGCCTGAATCTCCTGGGGCCGAGGGAGCAAAAACGCTGCGGAGTTTGAAGGCGTGCATGACGCCTCTCCAGCGTGCGTACGTTTCTAACAGTTCCAGGACTACTCAGAAATAGGTTCTATTGATTTCAGTATGACTTACTTCCAGGTATGCAGACTTGAATCGCAGGACTCGGGGGAAAAAAAACCATTTAAAACATTGTTTTGCGATTGCAATTGTGATTGCAAAAACATCGTTGTGAAGCGGATTCTTCGTAATGTGGGGTAATCGTTAAGCAGGGCACAACTGTATAAATATATTTTTAATAGGGATTTGGACTTGGGGCTTGGGATTCAGGACTTGCTACCAAAGATTCAGACATGGGACTTAGACCCAAAGACTTGCTAACATCCCTGCTTAGTTCCCAGGTAAGCCTATATGGGACTCCAGCCTATGCTGGCTATCATGGAATTTTATACAAAAGTCACATGTGATAATAAAGAACATAAAGAACTATATATCTGATAAATGCATGCCTAGTACCAATAAACAGAAAATGGAGACAATCACTTGAGCATACTTAATTTATCCAAGAAGTACAGACTGGCAATTAAAAGGTCACAAAATAATCTAAACATTATTGATTCCAGACTATGAACTTAGCTCTTTCAAATTTATTTTCACAGATTTTTTAAAACCTCATCTAGGAAATGTCCTGTGCTGTACTTCTATTTCTCAGAATATATGTACAAATTGGTGTCAGTGGCTGTGTGTCAGATGCATCTCTCTGTGTTGGATGCATACGTTACATTCTCTTGGGATACAAGAGAGTCAGGTGTATTTTCTCATGTGTTCCTGCAAGAAATAATATACAGGTATCTTGAATGAACTTCAAAAATAGGTTCAGACCATGCCCATTCTGTTGATATTCTTTGTTTGGTTCTTTAAGTTGCCATAGGCTTCTTGAGCCCCAGTCCATCACTCCATTCACTACCCCATACTGGGTATTTGTTTGTTTGTTTGCTTGCTGTCTTTCTCCCCATAGGGGGCCCAAGGCAACTCACAACAGATAAACTAAGCAATTTAAAGAACACTATATAAATATGACATTTTTAAAAAGGACCATTGAACACACGCATTAGGTTTAAAACAATCAAATATATTTTAAAAAATAGCTCTAATTTGGAGAAAAGCTGATGATGGCTCTACTACATTTCACAGTCACGCTCCTTTCACTGAGAGAAAGCTGTCCTATTTGGCTTTCTTTCTGTTACCACTAATTATTTCAGAGAATTTTTAACACTATGGAAACAAAAGCATATGCAGATATGGACTCTATCGTAAGGCTTCAATCCAGTAAACAGCACAAAGCCTCCTGTTGTGTCTGTTATCTATTACTCACATTAACTGTGCTTACTCTAAGGGCATTTTGAAGCTTACGGGCTTTTGTTCAGTGGTATTTCAAATCCTCCAGAAATGGCTTGGGCCTTACTGGGTTTTAACACTGGTGTTTCTTTTATTTTCATTTTCTCAGTAATGACTATTTTAAAAAGAAGGATTGTGAATCTACTATGACAATATTAGATTTTTCATTGTTCTTCCAAATAGAGACTTGGCTTTTGTTTAGTCTGCACAGGCTCTTGCTTAGTCTGCATATTGGAAACCCAGAATGGTGCAACTGGTATGCCAGACAGACCCAGGTCACATACTCAGTTACACACTTGATCGCCTGCTTGGATTTGCAACTTTGGGCCAGAAAATTACAAAAACATATTGCAACATTTCCTTAATGCACATGTTAAATATTTGTCCCTTCATATTTATGGGTTCCAGAGACCCCCATGAATACGAAGGGATGTATATTTACCCATTTATATTCATCCTTCGTATTATCCACAGCAGATAGACAGCCACTCCCCCACAGCCAAAAACACATTTTGTCTTCCGGCCACCGATCTGCTGATCCGCAGCAGATAGACAGCCACTCCCCCACAGCCAGCCACCCCAACAGCCCACCCCCACACTCTCTTCCTCTCCCTGCCTTAGCCCTCAACCCACCTCTGCCAACACCCCCTTACCTTAATGGCTGCACCTTAGCCCTCAACCCACCTCTGCCAATACCCCCTTACCTTAATGGCTGCTGCCGAGGTCTCCTTCTGGCCTCCCAGCCATGCATGTAAAAAGGAACACTGGCTGCCCTTTGCAAAGATGGTGGCTGTGGCTTCATTCATGGTATGGAAGCTGCAGCTGCCAGCTTTACAAAGGGCAGCCTGGATTCCCTTAGCTTGCCTTAAGGTGGGTAGGCTGTTGGGGTGACTGGCTGTGTGAATGGGTGAGTATCTGCCGCTGATCAGTTGATTGGCGGCCGGTAGGCAGAATTGTGCTTTTCTTTTTTATTATTTTGTAATAGGAAGGGGGTGGCAGGTGGGGTGTTTTTTTAAATAACACCCCATGAATCGAAAAATAACTTTCTTATTTGGCACTTCGTGGGGGCAACTTTGTGCTTTGTGAGTCGTCAGCTTTTGACGATACACAAAGTGGGATGACTTGCCAAAATGGTGAGTCGTCCCCATCTCTCGTCACAGTAATGGGAGAGATCTCTTTTAAAGCAACCTTTCCATTTGCCGAGGAATGACTACTGCCTCTCCCTGTCAAGACTAGAAGCTTTACAGATGGACCAAAAAGGCCCAGTTTGGGAACAGACTGAGGTTGGTCTGGAGTGCATTGTGTGATTGCCAGCAAAAAGACTACAACAGATCACTTCACAAATGGTCCAGATTGCAATCTATTTCCACATGTGACAACACACTTTAGTGAGATTAACAGGTTTGGAAGCTCAATTGTCCTTCAGAAATAATCATGATAGGATAGCATTCCCAACCACACCAGAGCTAACAGTTTAATTTAGGGTCCCAGGTTAGGTTGTCTGACAATAACAGATGAAGAGTTGTTTGCTTTCCTAAAGTAGTTTGTTCAATCTGTCTCACTATAGGACTGGCCCTGTTGCTCCCATATCTACCAGACAGCTACAAAGTTAAAAGCCATGGGTCTTCCACTTCGAGTTAATATGGGACTTAGTATTTCCATTGAATTTCACTTAAAGAGAAATAATTTGGAGAACTCCATTGGTGTGAACCATCTGTACAGCTGATGAAGAATCTAAAGGTACTCTACTATTATTGTACTATGATTTATAACATTTCTCTTCTTCTTCTTCTCTTTTCATGTGACCAGCAAATATTGCCCTTGATATTTCACACAAGCACAACCTGCAACACATCAGGAAGGTTTGCTGAGACACGACTTGTGGGGTTATTTTTCCAGGGAAGGTAAAAACATTTTTGTTTTGTGGAGATATTTTTCTGGAGCATGGGTAGCCAAACAACATATGTGTAAAGAGTTTTGTTCTGATGACAGATTTGAAAGCTGTGGATAGTCTTGTGTAACAAAATGTGGCATTTATTTTTCAGAGGCTGATGGTTGTTCATGTTAGGAATGGCAGTTTTGCATATTTGGATGAGCTGATATTACTGTCTGAGGGATGATAAACTGAATCCTAATGATGTTGTGAGGTGGAATTTTACTCAGTGAATGTTCCTACTCTAAGGAGATATTTTTTTCCATTGTTACTTTCCTAATTTGTTGTGTGGCATTGACAGACACTCTTTGTATAGGTGGTGGTGCAAGAGATTTCAGAAGAAGGGGGAAATGGTAAAAATCACTTCTCCCTTATAAACAAATATATCTGCTGGGGTTTATCCCCTTCTGTGAAGACATGGAGTTCTTCCCAAGCCAATATATTTAGAAATCTCAAGATTTATGGTACCACAAGAAAAGCACTTTATGAACCTTAGCTATGTAGTGAATGATAATTGCTTCCTTTCTGAAGCAACATATTTTTTTTCACTGTGTAATAAATCCACTGCTGATAACAATGAAAGAGATTTAAACAGTTTAGGTACTTTCCCCTTCTTTCTTTTTGTGAAAGCTTTCTATAATCTCTTTCTGTTTATACATATGGTCAGTAGATGTAAATGCAAAGTTAGGTGGCAACATTGAGGCATGTGTCTACTATTTAGAAGAAACCATGCAATGTTACATGTGTAGTTCACACAGTTTTTTAATTGAGTTATCTGTTTAAGCTGAGATCAGTTTTCGTTGAAATAGCTTATTTTACTTGTCAATTTTCCAAAGGCTCTTTACTGATTTTAGGAATAGAAAAATTGGAATATTGAGATGATGGCAACAAATATGGGGAGAAAATTTACAATGCAAGACAGAAAACAAACGACCACCTCAGACAATCAGAAGCCTTTCAAAGATTGGAAGTGCAATCATATAATGTCTATTCAAACATAAGCCCTGTTGCATTCAGTGAGTAAGTATACATTGAAACTGAGGTGCACAATGAACATATGTAGGCCAGTAACGTACTGTGATCATTTATCGTCAAGACTTGAACCTATAGTCAAGGATGGATCCGCCATCTCCAAAATTTAAATGTTGGGCATACTAGCCCATACTGTGCTTGATTTTGCTACACATGCAAAAAGATTTCCAATACATTTGTGTCAGTAATATCATCTACTATGCAAGCCATGGGTGTACAAATCATCTTGTGATAAATAGTGGTCCCTGCTCCTCCTCCATCTTGAAATAAAATGTGGAGAAACCATCATGCCCAGAGTTACGTACAGTACAGATAAAGTTCCATGGCCACTAAAGACATGCTTCTACTTTTATTTTTTAAAAAGTAGCTATTTGCTTTCTTATTCAAAAAAGTATTTGTGTTCTCTTTATTCAAAAATAAATAACATAGTTACATTTAAGAAGACCTTTTAAGAAGAAAGGCAGGTTTTTTTAAATTAATAAGGTAGATAATGTATTTAGTTTCTTCTTAAGACAGAACAATATAATCTACTAGTCTGTAGATTAGAGAGGCCACATCCTATGATAAGAAATTGATTTAAAAAGCCCAGTTAACAATCACATCCCATCACTTTACTATTATAATTTAGTTATCCCTTAGCATTTACAAAAAGAGATTGTTGTAGTAATTATTATTTGTAATTATTATCGATTACTTGTAACACGTTACTTCTGTTATCAGTGTTCTGATCATTCTTACATATCTCACAGCTACAGACACTTAGTTTCATTTCTGGGGTGGGGGTTTTGCGATATGCTCTTTTTGTTATGTTTTCATTGTATGTTTTACTGTATTTTAATAACTTTCTCTGATTTTAGCCGTCTTCTGGTTATTTGTAAGCTTTGGGCCTTTCTTTGGGATAAATGCAGGATGGAAATAAAATAAATAAGATAAAGTGCCAGAAAATGTGGTGAAATTGTGGCAATATTTTGGTATTCAGTTAAAAGGGTTCTTTTTAACAGAGCTACAGAGCAGGGGATATGCTCAACACTTTTGGAATGCTTTTTCAGAATCCCTGAAGAGAATCTCAGTCAACTATTTTTTTTATTACCTGAATTCCCCAAAGCACATTTTACCCTCATAGTTTTTGAAGCAACTGTACTTAATCTACAGACATTCTTCAAAGCAATATATTGCCTATATGTTAAAGTGCAGAAAAAAACCACAAACTTGTATGTCACAGTAGCTCAGCAAACTTCGATAGCATTTCCTTGCTCACTTTCAGAAACAGTAGCTAATATTGTAAGTTGCCTAGCCTACAGTTGTTAATAGGCACTAAATGCTTTTGGCTAGAACCACATGTAGGAGATGGTGCTGGAGATTAATGTGATGCTACATCCTTTGGAAATAATGTGTGGGGTTTTTTTCTTACTTATTTTCTCCTATAAATCAGAAGTATTTCCTTTTTTTGTTTATCTGTTTTATTAATACATGTTTCCCCTGGCTGTTTCGTTTAAACAGAAGATATAAAGTGGTTATTTTTCACATTCCCCACTGACACCAGGAAATTTATTCCCTCTTCTCTGCTAGATCCCTTCTAGGAAACTTTCTTGTCTTTAAACCCAGAAAAATACTATTAAGAGCTTTAACTAATATTTTAGCACTTTTATCAGTGACTAGGGAAAACCATCAAATGCTGTGCTCATGCTGTTTTGTGTACCTCCTGCTAAATATGATTGTTTTTAGTCTCACATCAGATTTTAAAAATCATCTTATCCTATTTCTAAGTGCAAGGGCATTCTCCCAACGGTGAAATAAGCAACACACACACACACGCACACACACAGAGAGAGAGAGAGAGAGAGAGAGAGAGAGAGAGAGAGAAGAACAACTCTATCCCCTTATGACTACATTTTCAGAAAGTGTCAAAAAATGAGGAAGTCAAGATCTTGAGAGATTTCTGGATCCAAACTGATAGACACCTTGAACATAACACACCAGACATAGTAGAAATAGAACAAAGAAAGTTCTGGATCATTGACATTGAAGTTCCAGGGGGTGCTAGAGTTGAAAATAAAGAACTGGAAAAACTACCAAAGCACAGAGCCCTTGTGGTAAAAAATTTTTGCCTCTGGAATAAACACACTTCAGCAGTCCCCATTGTCATTGTTATATAATACCAATGTTTTTATAATTTTGACTGTGCCTGGTGTTTAATAATCATAATCATAACAACAACAACAACAGCAATAATAATAACAACAACGTCTCAAGTAATTATTGTAAAGTATGAGAGATAAATATGTGGTATGCAAGTACAACCTTGCTTACCACAGGCTATGCTGACTACTGCTGATGGGAGTATGAGAGAGAAATATGTGGTCTGCAAGTACAACTCTCATCCTTGCTTATCACAGGCTATGCTGACTACTGCTGATGGGAGTTGCAGCCCATTAACATTTGGAAGGGCCATCATAAAGGATGCGCCTCTGGGTTTTTCAACTGCCTTCTTCATTTTTCTCTTTCCTTCTTTGTTCCTCTCTTTTTGTTGCACACTAATCTTCTGTAGTGCAAATGCTCAAGCTCAGTGCAACTGCCTCTGTTTGAGAAAAGCTAGGATAATGTTACTCATACAGTATATATGTTTCCCCTTTCTGAGGGAGACAGAGCCATAACTAGTAATTTTGGCACCCACACTGCCACTCCTTTATCCCAAAGGAAGCATGGACAGAAAAAGGAGGAGGAAATTTGGTTGTTTAAAATATTTTTTACTCCAGCTTTCTCCTTAAAAGGACCTAAGCTTCCTTACATCACTAAAAGACAATAGTAAAGCTAACAACAGTGAGTATACAAATACTAAAGAGGTGTACAACAAATACTAAAAAGTATACAAATACCATACCAAAAAAATAAGCCATACCAAAACACATTCAAAGCAATAAGGCACAGCCATCCATTAAAGAATCCCACTCAGGCAGCCAGGGGATGCTTGCCTGAAGAGAAAGGTGTTCATCTGCTTGTGGAAGGACAGTAAAGATAGGGCTAGACTGGCCTTCTGTAGGAGGGAGATCCAAGGTCTGGAAACAGCAACAGAGAAGGCCTTCTCATGTGTCTATACCAAATGCACCTGTGAAGTTGGTGGGGCTGAGAGAAAGGTATCTCCTGAGGATCTTAACACTCGAGCAAGCTCATAAAAGTAGATAAGCTCCTTGAGATAGCTTGGGCCCAAACCACTTAGGACATTATAAGTTAAAATCAACACATTGAATTCAGCCTGGAAACAGATTGGCAACCAGTGGAGCTTGAATTATGCTGCATAGCATGGTCAGCCTATTACAAAATGCCTGCGATACTGTCTGGATCAGAAATGGACAACATGATCACCCAGATGTGGTTGGGTTGTAGCTGTCATCATGACTGACAGTTGAGCTGTAAAACCATTCTCAACAGTAATAGCAACTAAGAAAGTCTTGGTCCATACATCATGTGGAATATCCAAGGGCTTTTCTGGAAAACACCGCTCCTTTCATATGGAGATGGTGTAGAAGATTCTTAACAAAAAATTCTGTAAGGTTGGACCTGCTTCTTATGTTATGCCAGCCAAACCTCTCTCTGCAAACTACGCAAGCTAAAATGATTGTTTCAGGAGATGACAGCAGTTTTAACAACTGCACATTTAGAATTCCCTCCTCCCGTCAGTTTAACTTCAGATCAACTAAACATTAAATGAAAAGAAGTCCTCTTTTTCAAAATACTGGCAATCATGACATTTTTGTGCTCATTTCTTCTACACAGAAATACAGACAATTATTTTTAACGGAAGAAAGTGTCCCATCTGTCAAAAGAGTGTTCTGTTTAGCTTTAGATATGTTGAAAAGCAAAGTACATTTACTGTTCTTGATTATAAAGAAATCAATCAGAATGAAATTTGTTGTTTGTTTTGCATCCCGACAAACTAAC